TGTCCTTCAACACTTTTGCGTATATGTATTTACAGTCTAGAGAAGCATTACGTAAAATTATATGGTGTCTTACTCTTAAGTAAATTATGTTTTGATATGATACCGTACATCAAGGTATCGAATCATTTATCAAAAAAGAAATTGCAAATTTTGTAGATACATATATAAAATATTTAAAAAAAATTGATCGTTTATGTACTTACGTCGAAGAGGACCACTAACAGCCACACGAGCACGGCCTATTTCAATTGCAATTTGTTGTTGATGAGCTTTAAGACTTTCTTTACCTGTATATGTTAAAGAAAAACAAAATAAAAATAAGACATGTATAAGATAAGAAAAATTTATTAATGTGTATTTTTTTTCGTGTTAAATTTCAAAACCTTCTGCCAAAAAGAGAACGAATAGAGAAAAAATAGTTTGTTTTTCTTTCCTTTCTGTTTTGTTCTTATGCTTCTTCTACTTAATTATAAAAGTTAGAAAACAATTAAGGAGGGTTAGATAGCATTTTATATGAGCCATAGAGCTCACCGCCGCGTCGAATAATAGTTGTAACTGATAAATAATATTAAAGAATTGCTGATAAAAAATATTTTTGTCCATTATTTTATTTTTGCTTACTTTTTCCTCTTACTGTACGATGATTGTTATGTATATTACGTTCAGCTAAATCAGCTTCTAATTTATCGACAAGTACATGTAATCGTGCAGAATATTCTGTTAATTCACGTTTTATATTTTTATCATAAGTAACATAAGAAATGACAGAACCTAAGATAAGAAAAATATATATATATATATATATATATGAATAGATGATTTTATAATAAATCAGTTGAATATAAGATTAAAAATGAAATCCTCAGCAAATAGTCATTGTTACTATTTGCTTATTAAAACCAACCATCCTTCGAATCACTTGTTGGAAAGGTTCCGTAACCGAGATCGTCGTCAAGTTCATAGAGATCAGCTAAAATATACAAAAAAAAGGAATTTGATATATTTTTAATCTCACCTAAATGTTGTCGAGATTTTGCTTTAATACATGCATTTCGATGATTTGGATCCAACCATGTTAAACGAACAGAAAGAACATCTCCTCGTCCTCGAACTTTCCATGATGTCAAACGACCATCATGATAAAGTTCTTGAAGAACATTTAAAAAACTTTTTGGAATATTATTTTCATTATCATTATTATCACCAAATGGAGGCAATTGTTCAAGTAAACTTGCCATCATGATAATGACTGACTATAGAACTTAGTGGGAGGAGAGAACGAGATATGACTATGTATCTATGTATCTATGTATGTACGTATGTATGTCTACGAACAAGCTCGCTGTCGTCGTCAATAGTGCTCATCAACAATTCGGTCAGTATGTGTGTAAATAGCACGTTGTCGGAGATATATACACACATATATATATATTCTCGCACTGTTCAATTTATATGTTAAGAGAGAGATATGTAGGTCGATGAGCTCAAATCTATGCACTTGACATACAGAATGATGAGAAAAAAGAAAGAAGGAAGAGACCAACGAAGGGATGTTTGGCATAAAATAAATATAAATAAAACATAAGCTATGTGAAGATGAAGAAAATGAGCGAGACAGTGATGATTATAACAGGAGATAAGACAGAAACGATTGACTATTTAATTAAACTCACCCAACTCTTTTTCACGTTTATGAAGTTCACGAACTACTCTTGAACTACCACATCGTTTATGTTTACAGCTTGTTTGATTATAAAACCAATCCGATGTTAAAACTCGGAGTTCTCTAGACAAAAAAAAAAGAAATAACAGACAATTAATATTTATAAAATATATTAAATAATTCTCTTTAAATAACAATACTTAATACATATTAAATAACTATTAATCTCATTGCCTATTTTTTCTTCGATTAGAATTTATCAAATAGTATTCGAAAAGTTTTTTCTATATGACATTAAATGATAACCTTTGAAGAAAGTATCTGCTTATCATTAAATAAAATCTTTATACACAAATCTGATCTAAAAAATGACATCTATCACCTGAGATATCTTTTTTGTGTTCTTAATAGTCTAATCTTTTCAAAATCCTAACCTTGAAAATTATGATATTGGATCAATTTTGATTTCAATATGAAAAATACGTTAAAATATCTATTTGTCACTTTAGCTTTCGAGCTTGATTTTACAGAATAGAAAAAACAAACAACGTTTTCTTTTTCACTGATCTAATTTATTTTTCTTTTTGCTTGACTGAGCAAATAATATATGACATGACAATAAATTATTTCTTTTCAAATATAAAATAAGACATAACTTTTAACGGGAATATGAATAAGCTTTCTTATGAAAAAGGAAAAAAAAAGTCAAAATATCTTACTTTAATTGTGAACATGCTTTACATGCCCATGTTTTTGTTTCTGATGTGTATGTTGAACATTCTGGACAAACAAATAATTTACATTCCGAACAAGTTTTTCTCGGATTTAATAAAAATCGAAATGGTTTAAAACATCTTATGCAACGTTCAAGATTAAATTCTTTTGAACCAGCTAAATATTCTACACGATCGGTTTCTTGTCGAATGGTTTTTTTTAATTCTCTGCAAAAAAAAGAAGAAAAATAATTCTATAAAAATGAATTTCAAAAAGAAAAACAAATATTTAATTTACTCTAATCGTTTATGTTCTTGTTGTCGTAAATTAAAATCACGTTCAAGAACTGTCAAAATACGTTTACATTCATCATCATTTAATAGTGATAAATCTGATGCTCGTGTTGCAACAGATCTCCCTTCGAATATTTCTTTATTTCGAATTTTTATTTAAAAAATAATAAAAACTTACTAGATTCAGATGCACTAGAATGTCTACTCATATTAATAATCTTTCAATAGAAAGTGATTGATAATTCAATTATAATAAATGGTCGTTGAGAAGCAATTTTCAGTTTGATTGTATAGGTGTGCTAGTCAGTAATGCCTTACGTATATTTCTTTTTCGATTCTTTTTCTTTGATGTTATACGAAAAAGACTGAAAGACAAAATCACAGTGAAAGAGTAATGTGTATGTGATAATATAAGCGATGGCGTATAGTGGCGTTGCTCGTTTGTTGTGTGTCTTGTTTTTTTTTCCTGTATTTTGTGTTATTAACTATAATACAGAACATGTATATATTGAAGAACCAGCAAGGTAAAACGAAAAAAAAACCGTTCTATTACTAATAAGCGTTTGTTTCTACCATATGAAAATCAAAATATTTTTTCAATTCCTTTTTTTTACAACAGATATAATATCTATTAAATTCTATCGGTTGTTTTTCAAGCGATTGATTAGAAGACAATCTTGTGTATATATATATATATGAATCATATAATAAAATAATGTAATATTTTCATTTCTTAAGCAATAAATCACTGTTATTTTTTTAATCTTACTCACAATAAATAACTGTCAATACAATTATATATAGGTCGATGAATGTTTATAGTCCATTTGACATGCATGCTAAATAAGGACACAAGTCGAATTTTTGAATGACTCTATCTTGATAATTATAGGAAAAAACGATGTTTTTCAATTTATTCGCAAGAAATAATATCTCGATAATTACTGTGTGAAACGTATATTTTTCCTGTTTAGAAACTTATAATCTTACTGAATATTGATATTAATTATAAACTTCTATAAAGACGAGTCATTCTTATAAGAATAAAAACACGTCAAAATAAACAAAATATAAAATGATTATTGATGTATATATCTTCAATTATTGTTTAACATTTATATTGTATTTTATTAAGTATTTGACATTAAATTATTTATTGTTCTTAAGCTATTTTTCTTAGCATGATAGTTAGTAATAATTGATAGTTAAAACATCATATATGAAATACTGAATTTATTTCCTAAATTGTTAGTATATTGCTGTCTATTGTTGACTTTTAGCTTAGTGAAATTCAATCGATTATTGATTTAAGTTCGATTTCGGTTATTTGGACATTTATATCAAAATTTTAATTCTTATTAAAACAAAATTTGAAATTGACAAACCTGTCAATCAATCAATTCTTAGTCTTATAATATCAAAATATACTTTAAAAAGATAACAGATTCTAATCTTATTTGAAATATTATGAGTTTTAGATAATATCTGAATAAATATAGCTTTCTAATTTAAGTTACAAAACTGCAAGGTAATCAAGATAAAAAAAAAATTCGTATGTTGTTGATTGATTATTCATTTTGAGAGGTCGATTAAGACTTTCATATCGTTGATAAATGTAAAGAATGAAAATAAAGCAATACATCATGTCTAAACATGAATAACATGTTTACTAGGTCAACAATTCAAATAGATCGATATAGCAATTTTCTAAAATAATTATTCATATCAATTATAATATGAAAATTGAAACGATATATACATATACATTTCTACAGTCTAGTTATGTTCTCGTTTTATTACTACAAAAATTGTTATAGCTTTTTATAACACAGTAATGTCAGTTGTAATTACGATACAGACCATCAAATAATTGACAAAATATATTGACGTTGAATATTAACTGATGCTGTCAAATTTTATGATTGTGAATATTTTCTGTTTTTTTTTTGTTACTGTAAATCACTAATGTTAGACCATTTAGTTTTATATCGATTAATACATGATAAATTTGCTATGAGTTTAGCTTCATAATAATGATTTGACTATTGTGGTATCTATTTTCAATACGTCAAGATCAACTTTATACAACCTTCATAAAAACTATAAACATTAATATTTATGTGTAGGTTGGGCTATATATAGCACTAAGATAAATACAGCTGTGTTCAAAAAAACTTGCACAAAATTAAATTTTTTGTATAACGATTTTCTTGCTGTTAGAAAGCAATTACGAAATTCATGTTTCCATGGATATATGTACGTTAGCTATATAACACGTTGACCATACAGAAGTATGATTTCTTTTGTTTTCTGTACATATACATTTAATCATGACATCATCTGGTGATTTAAAAAATCATCATATATCAATATTACATCATTGGAACAAAGATATTCGATCTGCTCCTGCTATTCATCGTGAAACTAATATTCCATTGAGGACTATCTATTACAACATTAATAAATTAAAACAAACAAATTCACTTAAACACCGAGATGGAAATAGTCGACAACATGTCCTTAATGGAATAGAAAAAAAAAGCTATTGGTCAATATATTCGACAGAACAATGAAATAACCGTTAAAGAAATTAAAGAAAAGTTATCGACAACGTATCATTCATCAGTATCTATATCAACAATACGTCGTCATCTTCATGAACATGGTTATAAGAATGTTCTACCAAAAAGTACTCATATGTTAACATCTGACGATAAAAAACGACGTGTTCCATGAGCTAAGCAGCATAAAAATGATAATTTTACACGTACAATATTTACAGATGAAGCTTCATTTCAACTTTTTCGTAACACTGTTCGTCGTTGGACAAAACATCCAAATAAAGAATTTAAATGTATACCTAAAAATCGTCAAAAAGTTCATGTGTGATGTGCTGTTAGTGTGAAAGGTGTGTTGAGCTGTCACACATTTAGATGCAACCTTGACTTGATGGTCCATATTATGTTGATATGCTTGAAAATTATCTTCTTCCTGCTGCTCGAAGTAAGTAATGAAGAAGAATGATACAGCCTTACTGTTTATTTCGTTGTTTTAGAACAATTTCGTCAAAATTAGCGTTTACAGCAGGATAATGATCCGAAACACACCAGCAATATTATCAAACAATTCATTAACGATAATGTATCACAATTATTAGAGTGGCTATCTAATAGTTCAGGCGTTAATCCCATAGAAAATATTTGGTCGATCGTAAAACGCCAAGTTGAAAAAGAAAATCCAAAAATATTGATGAACTAGAACGTTTTTTAGCTAAAGAATTCAAAAATACTGACATTAATGTTGTAATAAATTGTGTGATGTCCATGAAAAAAAGATGTTTGTCTCTTATTTGTTCTAAAGGTGAACGAATAAAATATTGAAATATAGTATTTAATAGTACTCGTCAGAAGCTATCAATCAGTATACAAAACTACTTGAGAATGACATATATATAAGGATATATTTGCATGACAAGATGTGCAAGTTTTTTTGAACACAGCTGTAATTAAAATTTTTCTGCTTCGATTCACTTGAATGAACTGACTTTTTAATTAATGGTAGAAGCTCATTTAAAGATTTCTAAAGTAAGAAAAATACATATGAAGTATTTCATAGATCATTTTTTTGATTTTCATCTAGAAGAATAATAAGAAGAAATGAAAACAAACTTTATAAATGATACTATAATGATGTGCACATAGATCCAATTTTTAGAAATAGTTAGTTTAAACGTGAACGGTTACAAAAAGACAACTGAAAATTATCTATAAAACGCTTCATATGGTTTTTTTTTCTTACTTGACAATAGATGAAGTTTTTTTTAATAAGGTTAAAAATATAATTTCACGATAGTATTTGTTTACGTTAACCGTATAAAAGAGAACTTTAAATAAGTGTCTATCACTCATCGAAAAAATCAGTCCTTTCGAACACAATGAAGCGGAAAAAATTCAATGTTTCTGTTGCACTCATATTTATGGTCCACACTGCATATATGATTTACTCTCAATTTAGTCTGAATCAATTTCATTCAATGATTTCTCAGTTCGATACTGATATTATCAGTTACATTGCTTCATAATTATGCTTAATATGGTGGAGAATAACTCATATCATAAATAATAACAACAAAAATTCACATGTTATTAATATTTACAACACACAGACACGTTATATATATAGGTACTCCAAAAAGTATCCGGATATTTAAGACCATCCCAAACGTTTCATCTGTTTTGTCTGCTTAAAAAATGAAATTTACAAAAAAAAGCTTCTGCCATGTCCTGCTTCTTAACCTAGTCTTTCAAGCAAAAAAAATTAAATATATAGAAGGAAAATCCAGAGAAAACTTTCAGTTCCCAAATGAGCTATTGTTGACCCTTGTTTAGTAGATATCTTCCTCAAACGTCATGTTATAGGGCTGAAAATTATACCCTAAACTCTTTCCTACAGTGCCGATATATCCTGAAAATTTCATGCGATTTCCATGTGTCTGGATCAAAATCGATTTTAAGAAAAGATCGAGATGGCCTTTAAATATCCGGATACATTTTGGAGTATAGTGAAAAAAATTAAGTGGTTTTGCTGCATTGAATTGTTAATTGTAAATCTTGATAATTAAGTACAAGTGCATAATGAATTGTATATTATTTGTTGTTCGTTTTTCGTATTCAGTATGCGTGTTGTAATAATGATCACCGGCACGCCATTTAATTTAAGTTAGATTATTATAAGAGTTCTGCTCAATCATCAACTATCTGAGAATGAATTATTTAAATGGCTAGTCATTTGGATAAGTGAAGGTTTATCATTTCCTTTTAATTTGATGAATTATGACCGAACTGAGAATGAACCCAAGTAAGAAATCATCGACTGGGATTAAATCAGAGACTGCTTGCATATATATGTTGTGGTCAAAATCGAAATTTTATTTTTGGCTAATATAAATCAAAAGGCAAACTATTTATATTATTTTTGCCCAATACAAAATCTAAATACTAAAGATTTCGTGCCAAATTACAAATTCTTTTTCTTGTTGTGCTGCTTCTCTAGTAAAGTAGATTATTGTTGTGTTACCTTATGTTACCAAATCCTTTGAGATGTCAATCATTTGAAACCAAATCCAAATTCATACTCAAACAGAATTCAAATCTTGTTTTAGAGCCAAACCAAATAATATCAAATCCCAGGATTTAAGATTTGCTACACTTCCAGTCTGAAGAGTCTGAGTGTGGCTGTAGATATGGATGTGGGGTGTGTCTGGTGTGTTGCTGTTTAGTTTTGAGCATGGATATGGATGAGCGCGAGGTCTTTATTGCTCCGACACCCTCATGTGATATTTGCTAATCAATTTTGTGAAAAAAAATTTGTTGCTACTTTAATTTTTCATCTTTCTTTACTTTTTTTTGTTCATGAAAAAAGAAATTTCAATTTTGTCTAGTCAGAATTGAAATTTTAATTTTGACTACAACATATATGTGCATCATATCATGATTGTTGATTGCTCATTAATTGAAAAGTGATCACATTTTGATAAAGCAACCAAAACGAGACAATAAGATATCAATAATTCCAAAAAGTGGCTATTTTTTCGCTAATTAGTTTAATTTTCGGTCGCAATTAAGTAGTACTCTTGTTCAAACAAAAATTCCAAGAATCTTATTTGTTTTTTTTTTTAATTTGTCAAAGATCTGCATATAGGCCATTTCAGGTAAAACGGAATATACCCATCTACTATTAATTAAAAAGTAATTGGCTAATAACTCTCTAACTACAAAAGAAAAAAAATCGAAAAGTTCAGAATAGACTCTATAACACGAATTGCATCTATGATGAAATGTTCAGCAAGATCAGGCACCAAAAAACTTCATCTTAAAAATCGGTCTTCTATAAATCCTATCAAATTCAGAAACAAAAATTTTTATCGTACCATCATCTAGAGATTTTGAACAAGGATTTGAACCATTTGGAATTAGTTTTGACCTTCTCATTCTTTCATTTGTATATACATACTTCGTCACGTCGCTAGTGAATGTTTTGTCAAATATGTTATTTATTATCTATCTATACATTTTTATCTTTCTTCATAGAAAATAATGCACAGAAAATTATTACAACAATTAAATGTTTAGTTGATTAAGAAAAATAGAAACTAGTCCATGAAATATATGATCAATGAGAAAAAACTATTTATGGCCATCCATGCATTCGAATACCATATCGTCGTAATTTTGTAAATAATTCATACGAATCTTTTAATTTATCTTCTTTAGATTTTCGATTATAAGTAACATGTTTTTCAAAAAATAATTCATCAATTAAATATCGTGCTTGATTATTTTCATCTAATAATTGTTTCATTAATGCATTTTCTAATGGTGGTTTATCAATATCAAGTTTAATTACAACATAATCGTTAGGTTTAGCTATAGTTTGGAGCATTTTCCAAGGATTAAATTTTTCTATTTCTGTTTCAACACCAACATTAATAAATGTATAAATTGGATAAACATCATCAGGAAGTTCATTCCAAACACGACGAGTGTCTAATTGTTGATATTCATATGCAATAATACGATCAAATCGAATTGATTTTTCTTTAAAATAATCATAAAACCATTTTGTACCAATTTCAGCTATATTTCCATGTCGACTTTTAAAATATGAACTTCCAATATCAATAAGAATTTTTTGTGAACCAGACGAATAAAGCCATGGTGCAAGTGAAGGAATATTTGTTGTTAAAGGTGGATCAATATGAAATGGTGATGAAGGTGCAAGAAGTAGGAAACGTTTTGATTGAAGAGCAAATTCACCATTAAGATAAAGATTCGATGGAACAGAAGAAATCCTAGGACACATTGTTAATGGATCACGAATAAAACCAATTAATGGTTCAATTAATTGAATTGCATCATGTTCTTCATTTGAACATATTCGACGATAATGCATTTTTGAAAATTGATTATCAATAGACATTCGTTGACTATTTGTATTGAATATTGTATTTTGTAGTGACATGATACGAAGAAGAACATCAATAGTTATATTAACTTGATCAGAACGTGCAAGAATAGAACAAACATCATATTGAAATGTTTCAATATTAGAAAACCAATATGTTTCCCAAGCACTTGGAATATATTCATGAAATTTCCAAGAACAAAAATTATCTAAATTAAAATAAAAAACAAATCAACGATAAATGATTCATAAATGACTATTTCAAAAAATCTTATCAGCATAGGCATTTTAGAGCTGAAATGTGGAATTCACATGTGTTCTTTAGCCTCATTATACTAATACAAAATACGTAATGTAAAAAATCTCTAGCAGACTATAGTTATTTTCCAAGGATAATCGATCGCCAGAAAAACGATTTCTTAATTATTTCTGCAATTTGAGCAGGAATCTTTTCTTTTTATGTTTGATTTGATGCCATTTGCTCATTACTTTTCTGTTCTTCTTAATTTAACATTATTATTATTATTATTGTAAGTATTGCTTGAAGTGGCAAATAAGCCTGTTGTACATATCCATTATATCTACAACAGATGGAGTCTGTCGAGTTCAA